GGGGGGCAACGTGTGGGCTGCAGGGCAATCCAGCACAATCCAGGTAGATCCAGCTTTTACCTTTCTCCTCCTCTTTCTCGGCTTGTGCAGGGGTTGTAGTTTGACTGTTTCCTGGTCTCACAGAAAGAGGCAGTGCTGAGTTAGAAAGACAAAAATAGCCCTTTACAGAGAAATATAGGGATTGTGTGTGTGGTGGGGAGAGAGAGAGAGAGAGAGGAGAGGAGCAGCAACAGCAGCAGCAGGCTGGTTTCCAGGAGGAGCCCTTCTCTCTTCTCTCGTTGTGTGTTAGACATTTTTATACTGATTTTTTTTTCTTCTCTCGGCATAAAGGCGGTTGCCTCACCCAGCTGCTGCTAGCATCTGTCTCTCTGGGGCAGAAAAAAAAACCCAATCTGGGTTTGATCGGAAAGCGACCAGAGACCATTTTATCTGAGCAGCCGGGGAGGGGGGGAGAAGAGAGGAGAGGAGAGAAAACGTCGCAGGGATATAAATACCTATTCTGGTGGACCCTTCCCCCCTTCCCCCTTCCCCCCTGTAAATACATTTCTATACAAAGAGCACAAGCTGACATCCATCCTTAGCAGCAGCAATGGGGTGTTTGGGCAACAGCAAAACAGAGGATCAGCGCATCGATGAGAAAGCGCAGCGAGAAGCCAACAAAAAAATAGAGAAGCAGTTGCAGAAAGAGCGACTGGCTTATAAAGCCACACATCGGCTGCTTCTGCTGGGTAAGGAAGGAGGAAAGGGGGGGGGGAAAGGAGGGTGCCATGGCCTGGGATCCTCTAGGTAGGGTCTCATTCTGTGCCTGGGTTGTGCGGTTGTGTGTGCGTGTGTGTGGGAAAGTACTGGATGGGAAGCATTTTGCAGGCAATTTTGGTGAGCAATATGTGGAAAGTCCACAGCCCTGAGCCACATGGATGCATCCGTCTGGAAAGGCTGCTGGGGCTTGGAGATGCTGCTTAGAGCCAGTCCAAAACACTGGGTCCATCGCAGGGTTCTGTCTTTTTTTTCTTCCAGGGGCTGGTGAGTCAGGGAAAAGCACTATCGTGAAACAGATGAGGATCCTGCATGTCAATGGATTTAATTCAGAGTAAGATCTATTGCTCCTTTGTGACTTACATATGTAAATATACATTTGAACCCTATGTTAACACACCACATACTAGGGCTTGCCTCTCTTTTTCTCCTGTCTGTGCAAGTGAGTTGCTTCTGCTCTGCCAAAAAAAAAAATTGAGAGACATGAATATTAAGGGAATTACTGCTATTGAATATTTGTATTTTCTCCACCTGGCCCTTCTGTATTTTCCACTGTTGCTACTGCAGCGCTTGACAGGCCCCTGTATAGCAACAACATGGCGACTACTTTTTACATAGCAGCAAATAACTAAATATTGTATCTCAGTACAGATGCACATCAGTTCATACTCCAGATAACATGGGCTGCTGTTTCTTTTCGACAGTGGTTAGCATAAAACTGAAAGCAATGTTCCATAAATGTAAGACATCTTTGTGTGCTGTGGGTTGCATGATTTCTCTCTGAAAAACTCAGCCTGCATTTATTATCAATCAATTGTGCACTAGTTTTAGGTAGATGTGGGTTTTAAACTGTAGTTTTATAATGTGCATTCAAAATTGTTTTGTGAACATACTGAGTATGCTGCAGTAATGAGGGAATGACTTTCAGTCCTACCATGAAGCCTTTGCAGATGTGGTTATAGGTGTCTAATTTGGCAAAATAGTAGGGACCAGTTTGCAGTGTTCTTTATAACACATCAAAAAAAAGATGATGTGGGGGGAGTTAAAATACATCTTCCTGTATTTTTCAGTGAGTGTGCATTAAAAAGTAAGAAGGCAATAAGCAGGCAATTAAAAATGCTAAACATGATTCAGTTGAACTGCTTTGAGAGACAGAAATAAAACAGTTGGTAATTTTGTTTTAATGCAGAGAAAAGAAACAGAAAATACTGGATATTCGGAAAAATGTTAAAGATGCTATTGTGGTAAGAACACGTTTTATATTTCCCTTTAAAGATTGTGCATACTAGAAGCTATAAGCATTATGCTGTCTAGGATTGTGTAGCAAGAAATCGCATGTTGCCAATGAGATTAGATTGTCTTTTACTAATCCTGTATTTTAGATTTATCCAGATAAAAATGTCTGTTTTTGTTTTATCCAATTCTAGACTATAGTTTCAGCTATGAGCACTTTAATACCCCCAGTTCCATTGGCCAACCCAGAAAACCAATTTCGAATGGACTACATCAAGAGTATAGCTCCACTTTCTGACTTTGACTATACACAGGTAAGAATAAGAAAAGTTATTTTCCTATTTTTAAGAAAGAGTGCAAAGTTTTGTCTTTGATTTATAATATCACTGCCTACCATTTGGAAGATGTTTTCTGAAGCAAATTTGTTGCAACATTATCACCAAGTTAACTTTGTTGGTCTGTGTTGTATCTGTTAATATTGCCACCTTGAGTATATTTTTGTTGCTGTCTGTAAAGGTGTTTCTAAAAGGAAAAAAGGTGGAATGAAAAGAAATGAAGTTTATTTGAAATTTAAGTATTTAGAGTTAGCTTTATCATAAAACTGTTTTGGGGCATAATTAGGTCCCGGACATCTTTCTAAGGAACTATAATGTCTACTTAAACAGAAGAATTGAGTACCCTTTTCACACTTGCCTCTTTTCATAGCAAAAACCTTAGATACATAATGAAGCATGTTGTTTCCTCACCTGTTTATTTTATTTCATGTTGCTAGCATTAACAGCAAGGTAAAGTTCTGTAGTTGTGTGAGAATGCTGCCATCTTTTGATGGGGACATGAAAGAAATGTAAAAAAACAATGGACTTTCTATGAGTAGTCATACATCTATAGTGAGATGTGTTTGGCTTAATTTGCATTTGTGCATTGTTTACTTTGGATTATTGGATTCTCTTGCTCTTTAGATGTTAATTATTGCTTATAGAAGCATGTACAGTGTATTCTTAAGGGTTTTATTCTTTGATTATGAAAGCAACTGGCTAGGAGTTCAGAATATTATTAGTTTTATATTGTTTTCAGTAGCACATTTTTAATTTATTCTAAAATGCTGATATTGATAGTAATTTGTTTTGGATACAAGAAGGATTGAAAAATCTTCTTATGTCATTGAGTAAAAGCATATGAGTTGTTCATGTTATCTATATTACCAAAACAGTCACTTATTAGAGTGTGTCTTCAGGTTGTTACAGCCACAGTAACTTGAGGGTTGAAGTGATGGGGGATGGGGAAGGTTTGTTTCCTTATTATGTGACTGACTCATATTCTCTGGTGTGTGATTTTTGCCTCTGGTAAATCTCCCA